CCCCATTTTGCCCCCCTCAAAATTTATTAGTCTCTAAGAGCGACTAAAGGCTACACAAGCGTTTTGTCGTTATCGGAAAATGTATGGCTTATAAGTTGTCATTACTCATTAGTGAATGCGCGTATACATGAAACTGTCTTTTACAGTTTCAATATTAGTTTGTAAATCTCTGAATGGTAAAACTTGCCAATACTCCAATAATACGTTTCAAAAAAGACAAAAAAGCTTTAGTTTTGCAAAGTTAAATTCTCAAACGTGTAAAGTCCCACACAGACCGGACGCGATTCGGCAACGCGACGCGAATTTTCAGTTTTCAAAAACAAATAAGACCGTCAACGGATAAAAATTTTACAAGGTATGCAGACCAAATAGCTAAAATTGCTAAGTGGTCCCGAATATTTGAAAAACAATGAAAAATATTAAAGTTAAATGTCATTGAAAACTGAAAATTCGCGTCGCGTTGCCAAATAGCGTCCGGTCTGTATGGGCCTTAAGGCACTAATAAGATGAAAGTATCACAAAACTATTTGAATAAACCACATCGCATATATATGGGGGGCGAATATCCTAAAGGGGGGATATTCCTGAGGCATTCGCCCCCTGGGGGGGCATATTCCTAGGATATTCGTCCCCCGGGGGCGGTATTCCTAGGAATATCGGCCTCTTTTGAGAGGGGGCGAATCTCCTGGGGGGAGGGGACAAAAGTCCTTTGACAACGGCATGGGCAAATAGCAGTACCTTTTTAAAAATTCTATCTTGCCCCCCCCAAAATACGAGTTTGCCCCTCAAATGCCCCCCCACACACACACCAAATTCTGAGGCCTGGCGCCGCCACTGTATTTATTATTATTATTATTATTATTATTTAAAAATCTTTATACACGGTAACTTTTCAGCAATATATACGTACATATAGTTTATATAAGTGAACATGCAATAATAAATTAAGAAAAATAAAATGCTGCTTTTCAAAAGGCCGTGTGATTACGCTAAAATTACAATATCAATACAAAACAGGACAATATACATAATTACACGTCCAATACATTTAATACGCCATAACCCACTATATATCAAATCATTGAATCAAGTTAATTACTTGGTTTCTTTCTGAAATACTCTGTGAGTTCCAGATGTTGACGGCGGCATAACTGAACGACTTTTTCATTGCATTAGTTTTTGGTTTAGCCAACCTCAGCATTAAGTTGTTACTTCTTAAATTATGGTTATCATTGCAGGAAAACTGAAACATTTCAGTTATTCCTTCCGGGCAATTTTTCTGGAGAGCATTATTAACATAAGAAATAGTTTGAGAATTACGCCTTTCTTCGAGATTATTCCAGCCTAATTTACAGAGAACATCTTTTCATCAAATATCGTATGTATCTCCCGTTATAACTCTTGCCGCTCTATTTTGAAGCCGCTGAACTTTAGTTTTTAGTGTTTGGCTACAATTATTCCAAACAAGGGAACAATAATCAAAATATGGGAGAACTAAAGAATTATACATTAGTTTTAAGGCATCTTGTATTTTTTAGCATTTTTTAGCTCGGCGAATAACCCCTATTGCCCTTGACACCTTAACGCTGAGATTGTCAATATTTTCTTTCCATGCTAAATTTTCATCAATTACAATTCCCAGACTTTTAGTAGTTTTGACTCGTTTTATTTCATTATCCCCAATCCTACTTTTAATTTCATCTTCTTTTTGAATATTTGAAATTCTCTGATACGAACCGCCGAATCATGTACTCGGTTTTCTCAGTATTAAGTGTTAATTTATTCGCTGTTAGCCATTCATGAACATTTTTAAGTTCAGTATTCAATCTCACTTCGATATCATTTGCACTTTCTCCAGTAACAGATAAATTAGTATCATCAGCATACATAGCTGGTTTTGATTTTTTTAAACAGTTAGGCAAGTCATTTATGTTAATTAAAAATAGGAGGGGACCCAGGTTAGATCCTTGTGGAACACCACACGAAATATGTTTTGAGGATGATGTAATATTATTAACTCTACAAACTTGAGTTCTTCCATGTAAGTAGGAAGAAAACCATGTTAACGCACTATTTTTGATTCCGTATAATTCAAGTTTCTTAATAAGGATCTGGTGGTCAACCGTATCAAACGCTTTTTTGAGATCGAGGAAAAGGACCCCGTTAATAAGGCCAGCATCCATGTTTACTAACCAAGAGTTGGTTGTAGAGAGTAAAGAGGATGTAGTTGAATGGCCTTTTCTAAAACCAGACTGAAATTTTGTAAGAATCTGGTGTTCCTTGAAGTAGCAATTGAGTTGACCACAGACTATATTGGGCGATAATTACCACACTCTTGTTTATTTCCCGATTTATAAATAGGTGAAACTTTGGCCAGTTTCCAATCATCCGGGAAAATGCCAGAAAGAAGAGAGCAGTTATATATATATATATGTCAAATACGAAACGCATATATCACTGGAGTCTTTTAAAATTTTTACTGGTATTTTATCTTGTCCACTCGATTTGGAGACTTTAAGCTTACTCAAAACAGTTTCAACTTCATCATTAGAAACCGATTTGAACTAAAAAACAGGACTAACCGACCGCTCAAGATATTCTTCAAATCCTTTATTACTTGGCGGAATCCTGTTGGATAATTCTGGACCCGGCAATTTTTGAAAGTAATCGTTAAAAGTTTCAGCAATATCATCCTTATTCGTAAATATTTGATCATTTGATTTGACTGAAGTTACATTTGTTGTTTTAGAGGTTTTACCAATGAGTTTGTTTTGTATTTCTCCACATTTCTTTGGAGTTGTTTTTTGAATTACTAATTACCTCTTGAAAATAACTATAGCTTTCGTATTTTTAATCAATCTATTGACATCGTTCCTAGCTGTTTCCAAGCGAGAAGATTTAGTTTTAACTGCTTTCTTCTTTAACGTATCACGATAGTTCATTAATCTCTCCATTCATCCAGGGTGTATATTTACTTTGACTTTTTTTTTAGCTTAATAGGAGCATGTAAATTGGAAACCGCATTGAACCTATCCTTAAATTGTTTCCAAAGCGCATTTGGATCATCAGTGCTCCAATCACAATTCGAAAGATCCCTTTTGAATTCTAATGTTTTGTAATGCTTAAAATTCCTTGTTTCTACAATTTTTGGTGACGTTTTGCAAAATGATATCTTTCTGCAGCCATAAATATGCTCACTGACACCCATATGTACCACCCCATGCAGAATTAATATTTTCTGGCTGGCAGCACTCCTAATCTTGCTCCAGAGTTCATTCGACCCAGTCTTTCGCGCCGATCTATGTGTTGTCTAGATCTTGTGTCTGTCCATATTTAAGATGTCGTAATTCCGGGGGGACACCGGGGGGAGTGCGAAAAAAATATTGAATTGCGTGCACATAATTTGCAAGCTTTTTATTCTGGGTCAGACTTGATGCAAAATATACGAACACTTCCCGAAGAAACCAAGTAACTATGGCTTTATTTATTTGTGTTAATAACCATCAAGGCGATGGACTGTTTAGCGTTCATTCTAGAGGCAAGCGATGTGCTTTAACTGATTATGAGTTTATTGATATGTGCAAGCCAGCCAAAACCGTGAGTTTAAATAGTGTTCAGTGTGTAGATGTTTATAGTTTGAAAATAAACGCGGAATGTTGTTTAATCAGGCTTACTGTAATAAGATTCGTAGAGCAACCCAATGTGGATTGTTGTCTGCAGCACGGTCTGCACATATTGACTTTTATATTAATATAACACCAGCTAGCAATTTAATACATGTAATAGTATGTCAACTGACTTTTGTATAAGACATGACTGTCTGTTTATATATATTTTATATATCTTTGAGGCCTCTGAGATATGTCCATTAATTGTTAGCATAATATGAAATAATCCTACCGTGCAAGGTGTTTGATTGTGCAAGGTGTTTGATATTCAAATTGCACTTTTCATACCTCCTGAACAGGCGTTTTAGGGGCTGTTTGCATGATGGAAGGCGGTGATTTTGATGTATTGAAATATTAGTCACTATGTAAATGAACTTCAAATGCTGGTTAACAGAACTCAAATGTTGTAGAGAAGATCACGTGGTTCAAGAAAGTTATTATGTTTGAACAACCTTTCATTTATAATTTAGTTTATTGTACGATCATCCAGATTAAATTTCTTTAATTATTTCTGACGTTTCGGCTACCTACACGGCGGCCATTATCAAAGACGTATTACAGTTACAAAAATTTTACAGTTATAATAATTTTATCTTGCGTCAAAAATGACGTGCGCGTGTTCGTGATGTTGTTTGCTCGCGCCTGCGTTCAAGGCATTCGAGCCTGCGTTCATGCGTGATTAGTCCAGCGTATGCTCCTGGCATATCGCGGCAAATGTTAATGCTGTTTTCATCGCATTTTGTAAACCAGCTTTCTAAGAACATTCTCTCATCCTCAAAACTATTAAACTCCATACAAGGCCATCCCTCCCAATCAATTTTATTATTTGTTTCCATGTTATGATACGTCTTTGATAATGGCCGCCGTGTAGGTAGCCGAAACGTCAGAAATAATTAAAGAAATTTAATCTGGATGATCGTACAATAAACTAAATTAATGGAAAAACCCGGATTCAAGCCCTTCAGTGATTCACTTTCATTTATAGTTAACTATAGTCCATCCATCTCTAGAAAATAATGAAGTTTTTTGCTGACAGGGACGTCGTGAAGATATCAGCATTGGGGTATCGTCATGTTTTGACCAACTTTTCCTAGAATTTTGACCAAGTAGTAGAAATGTTTCCCGAAAATGTTGTCCACGGGGCGGGGGAGCAAGCTCAAACATGACCAAAGCTTAGAAATTGTTAAAATTGTGAACGATATCATAACTTTGACAATCTTTTATCTCAAACTTTGACCAAATCTTACCAACTTTGACCTTCAATTTTAAACAAATATTAGTTCCATTTTGACCAACTTTCACCAACGTTTAGAATTATTGGGGGTGTGTTACACCCCCCACACCCCCCTGTAGCGATGTCCCTGTTTGCTGAATCATGCACCGTGGCTTATTTCAGTATATTGAAATCATCCTGCCTCATATCTCGTCCTGGTGGGATCATATAAACAGACCCCTTATTCAGCAAATTGCTCATGCTGCCTTTCATCCCTTGGGGGTGAGGCAGCATTTTCCTTGCGATAGTAACTTCTAGTTAGTAAAGAATAAGTTCAACAATGTCTGCGTTTCTTCCGGAATACGTGTTGCCTCTGTAATTATCTGCTTAAGTTGAAATAAATTAGCTATATCCAAAAGCCGGTTTGTAATATTGAGTCGATTTACTGCTAAAAGATTGCAGTTAAAATCACCGACCAAAATAATTTCCTTATTCTCGTCGTCTAAATTTTCAATCAAATTTTCAATAGAATCAAACATCTCAATTCTGGAGTTAGGTGGTCTATATAAGGATGTTACAATTGTTGGTTTTGATTTAATTTTGTTAACTTCAATACAAACCGCTTCAAGATGTTCAGGGACCAAGTCACAACGTTCTTTTACATTGAGATGATCCCTAAAATATATCGCTACACCACCTCCCTCTCGTGAACGGTCTTTGCGCACAATACTATATCCTTCTATATGGAGTATGTTATTATCTACACTATGGTCTAATCTAGTTTCATTAACACTTAAAATGTCTAGTGGTTTGTCGTGCAGATAAAATCTGTAGTTTCTACAACTGACAAGTAAAATCGTCTGGCGTTACAGAGTGTAAATTTGTCTGGCGTTAGACAGAGTTAATACTAAAGTGGGGTACATTGTCAGCTAATGGGTATGCCGTTTTAGCCCGCGTGCAGGCCCAAGGGAAGAATACCCTTGGGCCTGCACGCGGGCTAATGCCGTTTATCCATTTTTGACCCAATGGCAACTTTTTCTTGTTGGTTATTTACTCGTGTTCCGTGCACGCAATTTAAAAGGGTCAAAAGTAAACTTTCCTTTAGAGAGGTTTTGCATTCAGTTCATGTGGCAAAAAAGGCAGCACTTTCCTTGCGATAGTAACTCCTAGTTTTTATATATAATATGCGTGTTAATATATAGAAGATCGCTCAAGCTGTTATATGATATGTTTTGCATCCCCTTCGATTTGCTACATTTGCTACAATTAATTAGTGGATAGCCAATCGGAAACGTCCTTCAAGCCGAACCTCTACTGCGAAAACCAATCGTTTTAAAACAATTAATTAAAACAAACTCGCTTTAAAAACCATTTAATCGAACAAACTCCTTATCATGTATGAAACTATCAAAGTGATAGATTTCGCATTCAACACTATGTACTTCGACTACGACCTACGCAAAATCGCAAAGTTAAACTTTATGCTTTCACCAGTACCTTCAGGGAGAGCAGTAAAACAAAGGGGATTTGGAAATTTCTTAACCTTCTACGTGCAACAAACCATTCCATTTTGGCAAACAGGCCTGACGCTGTGTTAACTGCATACATCTCATTTTCTCTCTCTGAGCGTTCGAAGATCTTAATCTTTAAATGTTCGTAAGTTTGCCAGATTTTTAAATGTTGGACAAACAGGCAGTTTTTCAAAAAGCATTTAAACATGTAGCAATCTCCATCTCGGCAAACGAGCTCACAACTAAATTACAAATCTAAAATGTAATTTAACATATTTAATAAGCGTTGCCTATTATGATTAAAATGCGGTGACGTGGTGGGCGCGCGCCCTTACTCCATAGCGCCATGGCACTTGTATACCAGGACGCAGTAAAACACGGGCAGCGAGACCAAGACAGCGCCCCTGATTTACATGTACGTAGCATAAATAATTGATTCAGTTCACAGTTGTGATTTGACAACGCACGTAAGATTTCGACATTTACCTTTAGCACAGGTTAATGGTTATTTTTACGATCTCTAAGTAGGTTAATGGTTATTTTTACAAACTACAAACTAGAAGTAGAGTAATGGTTATTTTTACATGTTATTTCATTATCGTATATTATTTTTTTACATTCAAGAGTTCTGCTTCATCAGGAATGAATTCGTCCAAGGAACACATAAACTGGATAACCGTTGGAGAAGTGATCAATCTAATTAAGAAACCTGTCGCTTTGTACACCACCCATATCGTGGAAAGATGGCATGTCACACTGCGTAAAGATTGCCTTGCATTTGGGCGATGCCCAAATCCTGGAAATTGCCAAATGAAAAAGAAGCCTGACGACCTTTGCCGCTCTTGCAATGGATGGTACAAAGAGCTGGCTAAATCACATCTAAATAAAGATGAACGAAAGATCCAATGGCGTAAAAACTGCGACACATCAAAGTTGCCTGTTGATCCATGGGAGGTAGCTAAGTTCTTCATGCCTGTCCTTGGAGACAACAAGGGCACCGTTATTGAAGCAGAATCCACGGATTTATCACATCTTTTAAACGTTCTTGTATGGATGAAAGATGTAGCTTTTGCTCCAGACAGGCGTGTGGATCGCGATCTCGTTAAGAATCTTCGTTCAGGAGTTAGAAACCCTTGGGCGCATGCACCAAACCAAGAATTAGCCGATGCTGATTTTAACAACGCTTTTGATATTGCCAATAAGTTTGTTGCCAACCTTGATAATGTTTTTAGCTGTAACGAAGTCAAGAAATGCATAGAGGATATGAAGTTAGTACAAACTAACAAAATAAGCAATGTCGTGGAAGCCGAGTTAAAAGCTCTGATTTCACTGCGCGGTGTGTTAGGTGCGGATGTCAGCCAGTTAAAAGGAGAGATAACGCGTTTAAAAGAAGATCAAAGCTTCGACAGACAAGTTATCAAGGAACAGGAAAGAATGTTAGAAAATTTGGTAAATTACAGAAAGGAATGCTCAACAAGAATAGATCGTGATAAGTTGTTTTGCCGAGAAATTAGTGAAATTCGTGCTGACATCAAGTCATTACAAGGAACTAAGGATCGGTTCCAACAAAAAAGCTGTTTACCCGACAAACCGCCAACAATTTTTGGGCGTGACGCCGAAGTGAAGAAAATCGTTTGTTCCTTGGTGTATGAAGACTGTGGAATTGTTTCAATTGTTGGTGGACCAGGGTTTGGCAAAAGCACTGTCGCAGTCGAAGTTTCCCATCATTTAAGCGATAGTCATGATATTGAAGTCATTTTCTCATTCCTGTCAAATGTTTCTACTGTGCCTGAAGTTATTCAACGTCTCTGTCGTGACGTTGGCGTGAATCCTGGAGACGATCCTGAATCATCGTTGATATTTTGGTTAAAAAGTATTGAGAAGAAAGTTGTCCTTGTCATAGACAACATTGAGCAGCTGCTTGAAAGCAACGTGATATCTCAGTTTACTGAGTTAGCAGTTACTCTCAGAAAGAATTCACGGCGACAGTTGCAGATCCTTACAACGACAAGAACCGAATTCTCAATTCCTGATGGAACTACCGAAAACGTTCATTTAAGAGAGTTGGATAAAAGTGCTAGTGTCGAACTTTTGAGAAAGTTTTGTCGCAATAAAGAAGTAAAAGATGAAAACCTGTCGGATTTGGCTAAGTTGTGTGGTTTTGTTCCTCTAGCTTTGTGTATCACAGGATCTAGAATTCCACGTCTAGATGATCCTGCTGAATTGATTAAGTGGTTAAAAGAGAAGCCTATGAAAGCTTTGCAGTCAACTGACAAAACCCAATGCGTCCGAAAAGCCATCGAGTTTTCTTTTCAAATGTTGAGTAATGAAGACAAGAAAGCGTTGGCTCGTCTTTCGGTGTTCAATGGAAATTTCCAAAGAAAGTCTGCTGAAGAGGTAATTGAGAGAGATGATTTCGAAACGCAAGATTTGTTAGAGCAGCTCGTAGCACGAAGTTTAATACAGAGTAGTAGCGATAACCGTTTTGTGATTCATTTGCTTATTCGACGGTATCTGGCCGATCATGACCAACTTCAAGATGAAAAGGCAATAGCACAAGGATTAATGGTGAAACATTTTCTAAAGATGTGCCATTTGTGGACCATAGATTCTTATGCAAAAGATGGATTTACCGATGCCCGAGAAAAATTGAAGAAGGACAGCCACAATGTTGAGGAAAATTTCAAAATCTGCAGCCAAGATCTAGCAAAAGATCGTAATCCAAAGATCGTCGAGTCTATGGAAAGTAGTGATATTTACAAGTCTTCATCCAGATTCTTTTACAACTTTGGCTGGGATATTCTTCCACTAACTGTTTTAAGGTGTTTCTATGAATCCTGTGTAAAGCTAGCGGAAGATGGAAAGCAACTAGCCGTTCAGATCACATTTCGTTGTCTGGTAGCAGATCAAGAAGGTCGTAAATCTGCATGGAAATCTACTGAATATATCGACATGATGGACGCAATCAAGGATGCTCTTGACCAAAATAAAGCGGTGCTGAAAGAGGATAAGTCCTTATATAGCTATTGTTACTATTTTTATTCCCGATTTCATTTTAACCAAGCAAAAATTACACCATGTCCTGATCTCGAGGAAGATGACCTTGCGCCTTTACCTGAAAACAACGATCGAAGCCCAATGGAGAATGCTGACGAGGCACTTATTTTAATCCAACTTGCACGTTTGAACAAGAAACGTGCAATTAAAGTATTTCATTCAGATGAAAAAAAGTACGAGGATTACATGAACTGTGCAAAATCATTTTACGACCAAGCTTTGTCGACAGCTAAAGAGTTGCTGGGCGATCATGAATTAACGTGTACTTGTCATAAATTGTTAGGAGACTTATACTTACTTTGGCAGAAGAATGAAGAGGCATTGGGGTACTATTCCGTTGCCATAAAACTGAGCAGGAAACTACAACTTGATTCTAACGAGGCTTTTGTGTACTTGCTCAAGAATTATGGGTTATGTTTTCGTTTTCTTCGTCGCTTTGAAGCGTCAGTGGAAAATTTAAACGACGCACGTGACATAGCTGATAAGCTCGCTGAGAAGTACTCCCCTTGTAGAGCCAGTGTCTATTGTGCGTTGGCAGAAATGTATCGTGCCTGGAAACCTGATTGCCAAGAATCCGCGAAATACGCTAAAGTGGCAAAGGAGATGCAAGTGTTGTTAGACTCACGCACTGTAAAATCTTTGGAAGATATTATTAAAACGGCAGAAGAATGGATGAAAGAAAAAACCCACATCGGGCCATTACAAAATATCGTGAATGTTGTTAAAACTGATCGACAGCTCCAACAAAACAGCAGCATACCCGACAAACCACTGACATTTGTTGGGCGTTGGGCCGAAGTAAATAAAATTATTTATTCCTTGGTGGAGAACGGCTGTGGAATTGTCTCGATTGTTGGTGGACCAGGGTTTGGAAAAAGCACCATTGCAGTTGACGTTTCCCATCATTTAAGCAACAAGCATGACATCGTCGTTATTTTCTCATTTCTATCAAATGTTTCAACTGTGCCTGAAGTTCTTCTACGCCTCTGTCTTGACGTTGGCGTTAATCCTAGAGAGGATCCTGAATCAGCGTTGATGTTTTGGTTAAAGAATATTGAGAAAAAAGTTGTCCTTGTCATGGACAACATCGAACAAGTGCTTGAAGAAGAAGTGAGATCCGAATTTACTGAGTTAGTGGTTACACTCCGCAAGAATTCACAGCAACAGTTGCAGATCCTAACAACGACAAGAACCGAATTCTCAATTCCTGAACAAACGACCGAAAACGTTCAAATAGGAGAGTTGGATGAAAAATCTAGTGTCGAACTTTTAAGAAAGTGCTGCCCTAATACAGAAGTAAAAGATAGTTGCTTGTGTGACTTGGCTAACCTGTGTGGTTTTATTCCTCTGGCTTTGTGTATTGCTGGACCTCGAATTGCAGATCTTGATGATCCTTTTGAGTTGATTAATTGGCTAAAAGAGAAGCCTGTGAAAACTTTGCTGACCTCTGACAAAAGCCAGTGTGTCCAAAAAGCCATCGAGTTTTCTTTCCAGAAGTTGAATGATGATGATAGGAAAGCGTTGGCTCGCCTTTCGTTGTTCAATGGAAATTTCCAAAGGAAGTCTGCCGAAGAGGTAATTGAGAGAGATGAGTTGGAAACTCAAGATTTCTTAGAGCAGCTCGTTGCTCGAAGTTTAATGCAGAGAAGCAGTGACAAGCGCTTCGTGATTCATTCACTTATTCGACGCTTTCTGGCCGATCATCATCAACTTCAAGATGAAAAGGTTATAGCACAAGGATTGATGGTGAAGCATTTTCTGAAGATGTGTCATTCTTTAACCATGGATTCTTTTTCCAAAAATGGATTTACTAGTGCCAGAGAATTACTGAAGACGGACAGCCACAATGTTCAAGAAACGTTAAAAGTCTGCTGCCAAGATCAAGCAACAAACCTGAATCCAAACATCTTCGAGTTGTTAGTAAGTAGTGATATTTACAAGTTTTCATCCAGGTTCTTTTACCGTTTCTGCCGGCATCTTCTTCCACAAATGATTTTGAGGAATTTTCAGGAATCTTGTATTAATCTGGCGAAAATTCGAAAGCAACTAACCATTCAGATCACATTTCAGTGTCTGGTAGCAGATCAAGAAAGTCGTAAATCTGCATGGAAATCTACTGAATATATCGACATGATGAAGGTGATCAAGGATGCTTTAGACCAAAATAAAGCGGTGCTGAAAGAGGATAGGTCCTTATATAGCTATTGTTACTATTTTTATGCCCGATTTCATTCTAACCAAGCAAAAGTTACACCCTGTCCTGATCTCGAGGAAGATGACCTTCCGTCTTTACCTGAAAATAACGATCGAAGCCCAATGGAGAATGCTGAAGAGGCACTTATTTTAATCCAACGTGCACACTTGAGCAAGCGACGTGCAATGAAAGTGTACCGTTCTGATAATGAAAAGTATGAGGAATACATGAACTGTGCAAAGTCATTTTCTAGTCAAGCTTTGTCGACATCTCAAGAGTTGTTGGGCGATCATGAATTAACGTGCATTTCCCATAAAGTATTAGGAGATATATACTCATCCTGGCGGAAAAACGATGAGGCATGGCCGTATTATTCCGATGCCATAAAACTGAGCAAGAAACTAAAACTTGACTCCAACGAGCCTTTTGTGTACTTGCTAAAGAATTATGGATCATGCTTGTCTTTTCTTCGTCACTTTGATGAATCGGTGGAAATATTAAACGAAGCTCGTGACATAGCTGACAAACTCGCTCAGAAGCACTCCCCTTGGAGAGCCAGTGTCTATTGTGCGTTGGCAAAAACGTATCGTGCCTGGAAACCTGATTGCAAAGAAGCCGCGAAATATGCTAATGCAGCAATCGAGATGGGAGAATCGTTGGACTCACGCAACGTAAAAACGATGAAAGACATTATTAAAACAGCAGAAGAACACATGGAGTGAGAGAATTCTCAACAATGTTTGGACGTCAATTCCATTTTTGAAATAACATTGACTGGCTTTGTAACACTGCTCCAAAAATTATGACCAGTTTATTATTTTTTTTACATAAGCGCCACTAATTCGGTTACCTCATCAATGATCAGATATGACAGCAGCTTTGAAGTTTGCATTAGATAAACGTCGAATGGAAAAGTGGTTTAGATAAATCATCTAACAGTTTACTGAAGTATTCTTTCACAGACCAAAACAGATTTCGTAACAAAATCAACCGCCTAATTGTAATGCCATTAAATGTGAATCGAGCTGTTTTTCCTTCGAACAATAGCGTTCTATCCATTGTAATGGTACCTCTAGAACATCTTTCAGTACGACCGTACGTAAAATTACGGGAACCACTCAGTATTTTAAGAAAATACAAAATAACAGTAACTCCGAATAACTTTTCACCTGAGTACACAACACCAACACAGAGAAAAAAACAATCATATTACTAGATTTCACTGGTATCGAAGGAACTAGATTCTGTTCCGAAATATCACTTACTCGAACCGTCCTGACCGCGTAGCTCAGTTGGCAGAGCATTGGGCTGGTATTCCAAAGGTCGTAGGTTCGATTCCCACCGTGGCCGGGTATATTTTTCAAGCTCGCCCGTTGTGGATATACACTCAGAGTAACATAACAAACATAATTTTCACCTGAGTACACAACACCAACACAGAGAAGAAAAAAAATTGATTTTTAATCGACGTTTCGATCCTGAGGATCCTGAGGATGACTGAAAACTAGTCGAAACGTCGATTAAAAATCAAAATGTTATTCGGAGTTACTGTTATTTTGTATTTTCGTACGTAAAAGTTACAGAAAACTGGGATAAGCCTTTCACTCTGGCGGCAATTTTGAGCAGCTTATAGTAGAGACCTCACGATTTTAGGACGGCAACGCGACGGCAACGGCTACCAATACAATAGATCATTGAAAAGAATTGAGTAATTACAATATATGAATAATTTAGACATTGTCCTCGCTCTGTTTATGTAATATCTCTGTGTTTACTTATTAGTTTAATAGAGATATGTATTTATATTTAATAGAAGAATACTTTGTACAAACGCTTTATAAAGATTGAACCTCGCTGTTCGAATGTCTGACCTAATCTAGTATGATACCAAGTTCACCATCCATATATGGTGTTGTTTACTTGTTCAGAATATGAATAAATTATAAACATTAACTTTAACTATTTATCTATTATATCACTCCTTCTTTTTTAAAAAGTTCATTTATAAGTTTAATGTCCAACTTAAAGGTTGTCCATAACGTTCTGGGATTCTTCTTTCACGTCCGGACCTTCTGGTTGGAACTACTGGGAGTTGATCTTGGTTATCTCCAGTTTCATTTTGCCCTTGATCATTGTTCACCGTTGTTCTTTCATCATCGGTATCCGATTCATACTGTTTAGGGATACGTTTGAAATGCGATACGTTCCTTGTGATCGTGTGTCTACTTCGTGCAGTGACTTTCGACTTGTTTCTGGTTGTAACTGTATATGGCGTAGTATTGAATCTCGATGTTAACTTGTTCTGTCGTTCTTGTCTGACTAGTACACAATTACCTATACGAATGTCACTCGTCCTCACATTTCGTCTGTGGTCTGCGTATACTTTGTTGTATTGCTGTTTCTTGCTCTCGTTTGCCCGAGCTTGCTTGTGTTTGTTTACTACGTTTCGTTTCTTTAAAACTGGTAGTTTACCCTTGACTGTTCGATTAAAGAGTAGTTCTGATGGTGCTACTCCTTTCGATGTGTGTGGTGCTGTTCGGTATTGTAACAGGAATCGACTTAGTTCTTGCTGCCAAGGTCGCCCTTGTAAATGCGCTGTCTTTAAGGCTTTACCAAGAGGTTGCATGAACCTTTCGGCCTCCGCATTTCCTTGCGGCCAGTATGGTGTTGAGAACTCTGGTTTGATACCAAGTGTCTCAAGATATCTCCGATATTCTTCTCCGTTAAATGGTGGACCATTGTCCGATTTAACAATACTTGGTATGCCATGTGTAGCAAAGATCTTATCCAACTTTGGGATAACTGTAGATGCCTTAGTTGATCGCACTATTTCTACTTCCGGATATCTCGAATATCGATCTATAACCACTAGTAAATACTCGCCTGTGGGTAATGGGCCATAGAAATCAAGATGAACCATCTCCCATGGTCCTTTGGGCATTTCTGTCATAGCTAACGGTTCTGGTGGTGGTGGTTTACCAACTGCTTGACATGGTAAACATCTTTCGAGTGTACTTTTAACTAGTTTATCAATGTTCGGAAACCATATCTTTTCTCTTAGTAATGCTTTCGTCTTCGAAAGTCCTAGGTGACTTTCATGAGCAAGATCAATTGCCCTTTGTTGTAACGACTGTGGAAGGACAATTCGAGTTCCACGCAAGATTAGTCCCTTTGATGTAACTGTTATTTCATCTTTAATTGCTTTGTAGGGTTTTACAATGTCATAGTCCCACTTGTTTAACTTTATTGCAGCTCTCACCCCTTTCAGGACTCTATCTGAATCAGTGGCAGTTACGATTTCATCCATGGTCATTGCTTTTGGTACGCTATTTGAAGCAATGAAATTGACATATCCTTCTGTCATTTTCTGTTGTTTACAACTTGTCTGTGTTGGATGTCGGGAGAGGTAGTCTGCTGGATTTGTAACTCCTGGTCTGTATATTACTTTGAATGAATACGGCTGTAAACGTAATACCCAACGTTCTATGCGCGCTGACGACTTTGCTCTCTTATTTCCATAGATCACTTCGAGAGGCTTATGATCTGTTACTAATGTGAAGTCTTTGCCATACAGGTATAAATGGAAGTGCTCTGCACCCCATACTATGGCAAGTGCTTCTTTTTCAGTTTGAGAATATCTCTTCTCAACGTCTGTCAACGCTCGACTTGCATATGATATTACCTTGTCATCCTCCATTCCCTTCGTTTTTTGTGATAAGATTGCAGATATGCCAACTGGGCTGGCATCAACTGTTACATACGTGTGTATCGAAGTATGCCATGCATTGTGCTGACGATAACGCTGTAGTTAATTGTTCAAATGCCTTTTGATGGATGTCTTTCCACTCAAACTGTGCATTTTTCTTTGTTAATTCACGCAATGGCGCTGTTATTGTTGAAAAGTTAGCAATATACTTACTGCTATAGTTCGCCATTCCTAATAGACTTCGTACAGCGTGAACATTTGTGGGTTTTGGTGCGTCTTGTAAGTCTTTCACACGTATGGGGTCTGGTTGTGTACCACTGGCTGAAAAGATCTGTCCGAAGAACTTTAATGTTCTAGTTAAAAAACTACATTTCGATTGGTTGAGACGAAACCCTCGGTCGAATAAGCGTTGTAAACACTTGTCTAAATTGATATCGTGCTCCTCGCGTGTTTTGCCATAGACTATGATATCATCTGCGATGTTCTGCACACCGGATAAACCTTGTAGTTGTTGTTGCAACGTATATTGGAAAATCTCTGCCGCCGCATTGGTACCATAATTCAGGCGTTTATATCGAAATAAGCCTTCGTGTGTGCTGAAAGTTGTGATATACCGGCTAGCCTCATCCAGTTCTAGTTGGTGATATGCCTGCGACAAGTCTAGTTTTGAAAACCATTTGGCACCATTTAGTTCTAAGCTTATGTCTTCCACTGTAGGGATTGGATGTCTCACACGTTTTATAGCTTCGTTAGCTTGTCTCATGTCTACACAAATTCTTACGTTACCGTCTTTCTTTGGTACAGCTACAATGGGGGATACCCATGGGGTAGGTTGGTTTTCAGGTACCCGTTCTATGATGTCATCCTTTTCTAATTCTTCCAATGCGCATGTCACTTTCTCGCGAATGTGGTATGGGATACGCCTTTGCGGTTGGGCTTTAGGTTGCTGACTTTGGTCTATGTTCAGTTTGACTTTCTCGTCCTTTAATTTTCCCAAACCACTGAATACTTTCGCATGTTTCGATAACATTTTGTCAATTTTTGCATCTTTAGACTTTGACACCTTGTTAATGTGTAGGCTGATTAACCCGAGATCTTGGGCAGTTGTGGCAGATATCAGATTTCCACTGTCTGGCGTTTGTGCCACATAAAAGGTTGCAACGGCGACACGCTTTCGAGTCTCGATTGTAGCTTCGAATTTCCCTTGGAATTTAACTGGTTCTTGTGCATTATAAGCAAACGCTTTGATGTTTGTTTTCTTAAGCTCAACTCCGTCCATTCTATCAAATGTTGTTTTGTCAATGACGTTAATTGTTGCGCCCGTATCTATTGTCGCGTCGAATGAATGTTTACACACTGTCACGCGAACCTTCGGTGTTTTGTTACTTTTTACTGCGTACAAATAGTCGTCTGAGCTTGAATCGGAATCACTGTCCGTAGGTTTAAGCGGATTTATGGATCGTTTGCTTTCTTTTTGCTCTCGTTTCTTGTAATACTGAGGCTTCGGTTGTTTCGGTTTTCCCCGACAAACCTTCGCGAAATGATTTTGCTTCCCGCATTTACGACAGTCTTTCCCTTTTGCTGGGCAAGTTCCTTTGTGTGGGTATGAACCTCCACAGAAATGACATTGTTGCTTCGATTTCACTTCGTTTAAATTGTCGTATTTCGGTTCTTTCGCCTCGATATCTCGTGCCTGATATGCGCTTTGTTCATCACGCCGTCCATCAACGAGAATATCTTTCAGAATATATGTAGGGTCTCGTAAAGCTTTCTTTCGTATTCGTGATGAAGTACCCGCCATAATAATCTGTTGTTCTATTTCGAAATCAGCATCAGCAAAGGTGCACGTCTGCGCCAACGACCGTAATCGAGTATGAAATTGGTCAAGCGTTTCATTCGGTTCTTGTTTAGCTTCGCGAAATTTAAACACTTCGTATCGACGATTCTTTTGCGGCTCAAAATGGTCTTTGAGTTTTGCTTTACTATCTTTACTACCATTCATAGTATTTGAAGGAGTTTGTTTTGGTCGTCGCGTTGCCGTCCTAAAATCGTAAGGTCTCTAGTAATTTACGATGCGAACCTCTTGCTATGACGAAGAGCAACAACCTTGAACTGTTAGCTATTCAGATAAACACAAACAGCTGTGGAAAAGTTCCTGTCCCTGTAGTCTACTAGTCTATCGACCTCAAACAATACAAGTGCTAATTGCTACATGCAACTCGATCTATGACAACAAATTGATTCTGTTTGGAGACTTGTCAACCATAATTTGACCTAGCTTCCTGTGCAGACGTTGTTAGTGGCCGAGGCCCCACCTAACGTCTGCTCACATTCGCTATACATTTGACTTCCCGGCAATTAACCAATCACAATCATGTACACGATAATTGGAACATCGACCTTCATTGACCTTCACACGCATGGGCTATTTATATCAACAAGTCTGTAGTATTTTTAAATTTGAAAGTTTTAATACTGCGCGTATCAGAAGAAGGCTTTTCATTCCATTGTAAACGAAAAGAAGGATGTTTTCGTTAATCTCACAACTGGAGTCAGTGCTGTGTCATTATTAAGTTTAATTGAGAGCGATGAAGAAGTGAAGGCATTGGAAGAAGGGAAATATTCTGTATTATATGGCACACCAGGCAGAGTCATTGTTGAAGACAAAGTGTATAGCAGAATCGTTTGTGCTTTGGCTATTGATGCAGGAAGCTCATGTCAGTATGTATTATAATAAATCCTAAACATATATGTGTTCGCATTTGTAATTCTCAAAGCCACAGGAATCGATCGGCTTTGATCATTTTAATATTCGTTATTTTATATTGTCTTTTTATACGTTGCCTCGTATTATGACTATTAATATCTATTGCATGTAGTCGAAAATGGGAAATATTAGTTTTTTAATACATTTCTAGAATACTACATTTTTGGCATTTGTTGTCAAAATTTTAATGGTTCTCCTGATAACTAACTTTATTACTGTTAGTACAGAACATGCCTTAGGGCATAATTAGGTTCGTTTTTGGAGAAAGTGTAAAGTTACTAAAACTATTCGATAACGTACGGTGCCAGTGGGGTGATTCGAAAATATATTGTATTTATTGTACTATCAGAACGAATTGGGTCCCAGCGCAGCAAAAATCTCTCAAAATGGTCGTGAGATAATTCTGAACCGAACTAAAATCACCCTGTTATAAAGATTCGTGCTTCGTGCATGTTATTTTTGACAGAACAACTAAAGAAAGTTTCCATTTTATTACACTACATCGTTCTCGCAACTATATTATGATTAGGAAACTGTCAATCGAACATGTGCACTTCCGGTTGCATACATTTAAATACGATGTTATGCACCAGTCAATGTAAATCCACGCCCCCCCCCCCCCAACCGGGGAGGGATCGGGGATTTAGCGGGGAAAGTGGTCAGTTTTGATTGTAAATATGTCCCCGATGATGGGGGACTTGGATGACATTTTCTCTTTCGGTAGATGATGCGGGGACTAAAGCGGGGGAATGAATTCAGTGGTCAACATATATATCCTGTGTTGCTATTTTAGTTTTCTTTACAAGAAAAGTTAAAATACAATAACATAAATGAATTTGATTTTCTGAACTATGAAATATACAAAACTATCTTCCCGGTGTTGAGAGACATGCGGGGACATTTATTAGTTACCCTTTCCCCGGAGGCGGGGACAATTTCGCTATTTTACTACCCCTCTAAGTCAAAATCCCCGCTCCTCCCCGGTAGGGGGGGGGGGTTACATTGACTGGTGCATTATAAAATATATAAATATCAACTGTTTCTCGCACACCCTAACGCTTTCAACCTCCAAAACCATACGCGGTTTGAGGAGTATCGTTAAGTTAAGTTGAAGAATTTTCGCCTCCAAGAGATAACATAATACCTATCATCAGTTTCTCATGAGAGTGAAACGCCATTTTTTGTAGAAAAGATGTATGCTTTCAAACATCAAACCTCGCATCAGACTTTTAGTTCCACAATCGAAACTTTCAGTTATACAGTACATAGCCATACGGCATAGCCATAGGCGAAATTTTTCAGGTTTGACAGCAAAACTAATTGTTTTGCGCGTTTAATGGTTGTAAAACTTTTAAAATGGATAAAAATTTAGTACTTTCGACCTCGACTTTTGACCCTCGACTTTCGAACCTCGACCTATGACACTCGACCATCACCCAAACTCAGTTTATATGAGCCATTCTAGTTAATATACATATCCCAACCCTCTGATGTAAACCCTTTATAATTGAAAGTCTCATATGAACTTGCATGCTAGTAGGGGCCGACTACATGGAATAGATAATATGAGGCAAAGTTTTCAGCAAATTAGACTAATGCGATATAAGAGATTGAACTTTGGCATTTCTAGCGCAGCCGAAATTTTCCAGAATGTAATTCGTGAAACTCTCGAAAGCATCCCTGGAGCTCTCAACATTAGCGACGACATTCTGGTGTTTGGAAAGACGCAGAGCGCCCACGATCAAAGTCTGGAAGCAGTCTTCCAGAGGCTCAAAGAACGCGGTCTAACATTGAACAAGCACAAGCTCGAGTTCTATGGTTATGTTTTCTCGGGAGATGGTATTGCACCAGACCCTAAGAAAATTGACGACATCGTCAACCTACAGACACCAACATCTGTATCCGAAGTCGAAGCCTATTGGGAATGACCAATTATTGTTCCAGATTTATCCCGGACTATGCAACCAAGACCGAACCATTACGCAAGCTGACCCACAAGGATCAACCTTGGGAGTGGACATCGCAGCACGACAGCGCGGTTGACCAACTGAAAGAAGCCTTGGTGAATGCACCGGTTACGGCGTACTTTGATCCAAGCAAAGATACTGAAATCTCGGTCGACGCCAGTCCTGTTGGATTAGCTGCCATTCTCTCGCAAGTGGACGGAAAGACCGGTACCCACCACATTGTCACCTATGCCAGTCGTTCCTTATCTGAGACAGAGCAGCGTTACAGCCAGACAGAACGCGAGGCCCTTGCTGTCGTCTGAGCCTGCGAACATCTTCATCTGTACATATACGGAAAGCCTTTGACAATCTATACCGATCACAAGCCTCTACTGTCCATCTATGGCAACCCAAGTTCTAAACCTCCAGCAAGAATAGAGAGATGGGCTCTCCGACTTCAGCCTTACCAACTGACAGTCCGTTACCGAAAAGGAGAAGGTGTCGAGAATGTTGCCTCCAAACTGTAGTCCTCGACAAGTCACAAAATAAAAACCATTTAATAAAAATATAATTCTACAACAACAACAATACTCGTGCTCGATGCACTCACAGCGTGTCCCTAGTCACTACCTATTCTCACTCGTCTCTTGTTACAGTGTCACGTGATATCTCTAATAATAATTGATATTGCTAATACTAATACTAATAACTATTCTATCTATGTAATATATAATTGTAAAGGCTTATCTGTCAGTTCTCAACACACTCCCCCATATAGCTCGTTGAAGAGGTATATGTCCACTTGAGACTGACTTCTTTATTGTCCTCTCGTGATTTCTAAACAAAACTGAAATATTAATGTCATATAATAAATTGTCAATTTGAACTACAAAAGTTTCTCTTGGAAAGCTATGTCCTCGTATGTCTTCCTCAGCTTGTTGCTCGATTCGTAAACTTGCAGCGGCAGCTGCGTCTCTCATCGCTCGTGGAACGAAGGTGGGTGCCTGGGGATTAGGTTTCTCGTAGGATTGGGCTCGAAATCTCTTGCATCCCCAACATTCGGTTCTAACTCGCTTGACTAGCTGTCGTAGTTTCGGGATCCAGTAATGCTCCCTGATCTTAGCCATAGTCATTCCTACTCCACCATGCAAGGTCGAATGGTGAGCTCGTTCCACTAGCTTACGAGCGAATGGGTGACTTTGGGGTATGTAGATAGGATACTCTCCTTCGATTCGTCCACGACATTCTAAGATTCCACCCTCGTTTGGTTGAAGATTCAGGTTCACCCCGTCTTTCCCGATTTCGTCGTTGTTCGTTGCGTCGCACTGTGCTCTTTTGATCCACCACGAAAGTTGTGTCTCAATCTCAACGGTCTTTATGGGGCCATGTTCTCGTTCGTTGACCGCACGTCTACAATTTTCAATGAACCTTCGTATCCATGCTCCAATCTTTAGGACCTTGCGAAGTTCATGCGCTTCGAGTAGCTCGTCTAGTTGATCGGGAACTCTCGGTGGTGCTGTTGTCGTGGTGAAGACATTCTTCAAGATCTTCGCTTCAGCTCTGCTTTCTTGACTGGGTTCCAGGACAATATTTGGGGGCCACTTGCTCGGATCACTCAACCAGTCAGGACCGTGTCGCCATAGCTCGCTGTCTACACACTTGCTTCCTCGACTCCCCAAGTCAGCTGGGTTTCCTCCGGTGGGAACATGATGCCATTGTATATGTGCTTGCTCCTTTATCTTCGCCACACGATTGGAAACGAACTGTCGATACTCCCCCTGGCCGTTGATCCAGTAAAGGGTAACGGTAGAATCACTCCAACAATGGACTGCCACGATCTTTACGGCATCGACCGCACGCTCTACATTCATTACAAGATTCTTCGCCATATGAGCAGCTACGAGTTCGAGCCGAGGTATGGTAAGGCTTTTCTTGGCAAGACGTGACTTTGAGCAAACCAAACCTTGAGTTGTGCCGTTTTCTTGTTCTACGACCGCATACACTGCTGCTGACACACCGAGTTTGCTGGCGTCACCGAACGCGTGGAGGGTGACTGCTGTTACAGGTTGGAAAAACGGTGCTAAACTGCGTGGTACTGTAAACGTCATCGATACTACAAGTTGCCACTCTTCCCATCGTTTCTTGATTTGCTCCGTTAACGGCCCGTCCCATGGAAGTTTGGCTTCGCACATTTCTCTGTAAAGTTGTTTCGCGACTACGGTTGTTGGAGAAACCAAACCTAACGGGTCATAAACCTTCGCTAGCTCCGATAATGCCTCTCGTTTGGTTGTTACTGGCTTCTGAGTTGTCTCAACACTAAGTGTGTCCTTCGTTTTGTCCCACGTTAGACCGAGCAACTTCGTTTCTCTCTTGTTCGTACCGAGTTGAGCTTTTCCGAACGAAAGTTCTTCGTTGTCCACAGGTTTTTGTAGGTTTTCTTCAAGACTCATAACATTCGAATGCCATTTGTGCAATTTGAATGACCCGTCTTCGAACACTTCGATTGCTTTTTCACGTTTCGTTGTCACAGTTTCTACCGATTCTCCCCCCGTCATTAGGTCGTCAACGTATAATCCGTCTCGGATTTCTTTAACTAGGTTTGGATATTTGGTCTCCCATCGTTTTAAATGTTCGTTGATAACTCCACCGAGGAGGAATGGTGAGCACGTCATTCCGAACAAGGCTCGAGTGAACCGATACACCATCGTCTCTTCGCTTCCTGGGCTCCTCCAGAAAAACCGTAAGGAATCTCTTTCTTGTTCTCTAATGCGAATTTGTAGAAACGCTTTCTCGATGTCGCTGGTCGAAAGGATGGGATAAAATCGTGCTCGGACGAGAACATTCCACAGTTGATTTTGGAGTGGTGGGCCAGGGTAAAGACACTCGTTCAGTGATGGTTGCTCACTTGATTCCTTCGCCGAGGCGTCGAAAACTATACGTAGTTTCGTGGTTTCTGCCGACTGTTTGATAACACCTTTATGTGGTAGATAATGCTCTTTGCCACTCGCTTCGATTGGAGCTCGTTCTATGATGCCTTGGTTAAGTTGCTCTCGTATAATATCATCATATCGTTCGTAGTTCCCCTCACGAGTTAGTTTCTTTACTACAGACGTCAGTCGTCGTCTACTGGCTGCTTCGTTCGTAGGTAGACTGGGATGGTTGGCTTTCCATGGAAGATTGGTCTCGTACCAACCTTCAGGATCTCTCGTCAGCTGTTCTTTGAAGTCTTCGTATACTACGCTCTGGTCGCTTTCCGTCGTATCAGCCAGCCCGAGAACATCCAATTTGCATAGACGTTCAAAATCCGAGTGCGCTGTTTGAGTCAAGAGCATCGTATTACGGTCAAAATCGATTCCAGGGCTCATGATAAACCAACCAAATTTCGTTTTTTCTGCCACTGGCTCGTAGTCGCCGCCGATAAGAGGTTTTGTGCTCGTTTTAATTCTCGCGTATTCGCCGTTTCCTAACACTAGGTGAATGGGTAGCTTCTCTTTCGTATCAGGATCATCGATAACAGCGCCTTGAAGGTGGTTGTACTTGCGTCTTAACTCCTCGTACCCAGGGTTAATTATATTGAGGAGTTCTGGTTTTTCCACTTTAGCTATTTTCACATTCATTTTGTAGCTTCCATCTAGAGCGCTAATTTCCGTGTCGTAATATTCCAGACGTGCCGTCTTTGATCCCATTAGCATATCAATACGTTGTAACTTCGTCTCGCTCGGTTTTTTGTCAATCATCGCTACAAGACTTGCAGACGCATATGACCCCCCGGCGCCAGAGTCAATTAGTGCGCGACACATAACACCGTTTACCTTCACTACGACTACAGGGAATATTCCTTCTCCAATTCCACCGTCTGTCATCAATTTCCCCTCGTTTCCGGATGATTGACGTGGTTGTTGGCAAATTGATGAGTGATGACGTTTTTTACAATGCTGACATGAGGCTTTGCTAGAACATTCCGCTGCGCGATGCTTTCTTGTAGCGCAGTTAAAACACAGACCCTTTTTAGTTAAGATTTTCTTCCGTTCGCTCGTGTCCGTTATTTTGTCGCACTGCGTCGCCTTATGCCCAGTGTCCTCGCAATAAACACAGCCTCGTACTCTCGCTTCATCCTCGCGCGCATGAAAAATACTCTTACGTTTGTCGCGCTCTTTCTCGTTTGAAACAGCTGGGTTTCGTTTAACCCATTGACGTACAGCTTCGCTTAGCTTAGCGAAGTCCCAGGACTCCCAATCGAGATCGGTACGGACCAAATCCCCCCTAATTGCAACTAATTTCGCCAGTGTCATCGCGACATTTCCTCTCACTTGCTCAAGCTTTTTCATAGTGTCAAGCGCTTGGACACAATAGGTCAATTTCTCGCTGAACTCTGCTACTTTACGTGGGTTTGCGCTGGTTATATAAGGCAACTCTAATATTTCCCTCACGTAGCTATTGACAATCTCCGATTCTTTCCCAAACTTATCGAGAAGAATTGACTTGGCCCGGTTATAACCTTCTGATGTAAATGGCAAGGTTTCTACACAACGTTTAACCTTAGGACTGAGTAGCTCTCGCAAGTACGTAAACTTGGTGATAGGGGCAATCGAACTTTTGTCAATAGCTTCGTTGAACTGTCCCCAGAATCTAGGCCAATCCATGAACGAACCATCAAATTTGGATATAACTAGTTTGGGTAATTTGGCAGTTTTAAAGTCAGAACATTCCTGTATTTCCGGTTTTGTTTGTGTCAGTTCGAGTTCGGCTTTCATCTTTAGACGTTTTTCATGCAATTTCAATTCTATTTTAAACTGCTCCTCTTGCGCTACGTGTTTTTCAGACTGTTCCTTTTCGAAAAGCCATTGTTCTAAACGTTTTATTTCCCCATCTCCCTGTTCAATTTTGACTTCGATCCCTAGATTCCATTCGTTAATTTTTTCAATACTTTCGTCGGCCTCAATTTTTTCTGCTTCAACAACACGTTTATGTTCGTTCGTTTCACGAACCGTTTCACGCAGCGCATTGAGATGCCGCTTAATACTATCAGGCTTACCTGAGTCCAAGACATTTTCTGTTCGTTCTACGCCAAGCTTCAACTGCTTCAGCTTTGTCTCTAACCTTTTCTCCATACTATCGCCGACAACCGCGTGTCGTTAAAATTTATTCGCTCGTATTCGAATATAGCTGGCGTTTCAGCTATCCCGTCGGAGGTGCCACGTGTCGAGAATGTTGCCTCCAAACTGTAGTCCTCGACAAGTCACAAAATAAAAACCATTTAATAAAAATATAATTCTACAACAACAACAATACTCGTGCTCGATGCACTCACAGCGTGTCCCTAGTCACTACCTATTCTCACTCATCTCTTGTTACAGTGTCACGTGATATCCCTAATAATAATTGATATTGCTAGTACTAATACTAATAACTATTCTATCTATGTAATACATAATTGTAAAGGCTTATCTGTCAGTTCTCAACATCCCTCAACAATAGTATTCTCCATCCAAAGACATGCAATATTTTTGCCAACGAGTTGCCTGCGGAGGAGGCTAGTAAATTTTGTAACTAAATAATTGTTAGTACATGCAGAGTATGTGTGTACATCTTAATTTGATTACTTAAACAAACATTTTTACAGGTTCAGCACTGAAAGAATGATGCTAGCTGGAATTTGGTTTGGGCCAAGCAAACCATCGATGCCGATCTTTCTTTCTCCATTTCGTGAACAAATTAATAATATTAAAACAAAAGGTAAGTAAGAACTCGTTTTTAATAATGTGAACATTTTTAGCACGACTATAGGCATACGTATTGCACTTGGTACAGCTTTTGGCATTTTAAAGTTCAAGAGTTGCACTGATAACCACGTACAGGTCACCATATTGCATGTCGACCTGTATGGTGCAATTTTGTTCCATTGAAGTAAAACCACCACCTTGGTGTTTTTAATTAGACCAACGCTGCTGTAATGTGTCTTTTTTAGGGATCCCAGTAAATAGCAATGGAGAAAGCTTTGTGTGCCATGCAGTTTGTCTCGTTGGAACTGCAGATCTACCAGGAAAATGTGCCTTGCAGGGATTCACCAATATAATGGGAAGTGTGGTTGTTCCTTTTGTGAACATGAAGGGGAAGTTGTTCCTGTCTTAAAAGGTCACACACAAGTTTACCCATACTCTGTTGGTCAATCACACAAATTAAGGACAAAGCAAACAACACTGACCCAATGACTATCGGCACAGCAAAATGGAACTCCAGTAAGTCCTATGTTGACCGCGATGGATCCAGCATTTATGTAACATAATGAGGTTGAATATTTTCATGTTAAAGTATTTGCTGGAATGCTACCTCCACCCAAAAGTTACATTTTCCCTCTGGACACCCTTAGGAATCCTGACACGAAGTGAATCCGTAACATAAAGACGTACCGTCTGGGGGTCAGACACGCGTGCTGGAGGTCAAACTTTTGCTTTAAGCAAACATGCATAGGTTTATCTGAAGTTAGCGTTCCATTTATATTAAGTTCAGTAATCTTCACCCATGTTAGGAATCAGGTAACCTGTTTCAAAGATCCCAAACAGCTAAATTGTAAAAAAATATGTAATTACAGTGTAATGATTTTTTGTTTCTTTTTAGGTTTGTGGTGTCAAAATGGTTTCTCAGCTTGATTGATGCTTTTGATGTTGTAAGGGGCATGCCTATTGATTACGTGCATGGTGTTCTTCTTGGTATTGTTAAAATGTTTTTTTCATTCTGGTTTGATAACAAACATAAGAAAAAAAAATTTACATTGGGAACAAGATCTCTGATGTAGATAAGCGTCTTCAGCAATGCTAACCATCAGACTTTATCACAAGATTGCCAAGAAGCCTTATTAAAGATAGAAAATACTGTGAAGGTAGCTATAATGTAGCCACCTCCGCAGGTAACTCTTGAAACACCTTAAGTGAGAGGTAGTTGAAGGATAGAGTGGGACGTCAAATATCTCGCTAACTATTGGTCTCTCCATCGCAGTTGCCTGTACAGGAGGCCCAGGCTATGTATCATTGTTGTTTTTTGTCATTTGATCCTGGTACAATTTAATGCTAGGAGCTTAATTGCATGTGAACAGTATTACAACCAGTAAGATGCAAGACCGGGCTTCCTTGACGAGTAAAATCGTCAGCGCTAAACAAAGACGTAAAATGCGTTAAAGGGTTAAGCAATTTATTATTTTTATCGAATTTATACTTTCATAAAATTATACTGTAGCATCAGAAGTCCGTTCATGGCTCTTATACTATTGTCTGCCTGTACTAAAAGGAATTCTTCCTGACGATTTATACTGCCACTATGCTCTACTGGCTACTTCAGTTTATCTTTTACTACAACAACCAGTAACTCAAGCTGGGATAATTTTAGCAGACAAACAGTTAGATGAATTTTATTGGGGCACTCAAAGGTACTACGGTATTGTTACTGTAATAATTATGATGATCACTGACGAGTAAAATCATCTGGCATAACGCCAGCTAACGAGTAAATCTTAACCTATATACAGTAGGGAAAGCAGCGTGTGCCATAAATGTTCACAATGCTGGTAAACACCTTACTTTAAGTGTGGCAGCTGCAGGACCTCTCTGGGCATTCTCATGTTTTGGCACAGAAGGGTGGAATGGCACCATGATGAAGCTAATCCATGGTACTCATAATGTGGCAATTCAGGTATCAACTGTCATGTGAATGAACACCACATTTTTCATCTGTGACATTTATATCACGATCTACACCGAAAAGTGTCACCTGACTTACTTGTCAGATAGGTTTGTAGGCTAAATATATTATTAGTGAATCTGAAAGCAATTTTTTCTGCCCTAATTCTAAACGACATATTGTTTTTTACTGCAGGTTGTTGCTGCAGTAAAAGCTTTGAGACAGATAAGAATAAAGGAACAGGAAGACTCTGATATAAGATCAACAACTGCAGTGAAGTATATGGAAAATCTAAGTCACAGTGGTAAAAGGTACACTACATTTTTTGGTCATGGGGCTGAACGAACCCATTACTATAGATACTGGACAATGAATCAAATTGAATGGATTTGGAATTCAGTCCGGTTTGAAATGGAGGATTTGAAATGTCTGACATCTGATAGGACTGAATGGCCTGAATAAATTTGATCCAGTCCTGCTGACTGCTGAATTAACAAACCTATCTGCCAGTGTGACTCTTAAATGTTAACGTTGATCCAGTTTGCTAACGCCTTAACTTTGCCAAGCATCCAGTATCATGTGACTGATATTTAGATTTAATTACCCAACTGGTTCACTTAACTAATCTGTAAATTTACAGTATTACTATTTCCTTTCATGCAGATACAATATGGTTATGTTATTTCCTGGTTGTTATTCTATTGGTAGTCTCAAGAAGACAACGCTGTCATTGCATCAATTGGCATTATTGAATGAGGTCATTCCTGGGGCAGCTGTTAACGTTAAGGAAACTTACACATTCAAGAAAATTTGCTTCCAGAAGCAAACATTTTACAGTATGGTCTATACGAAAGTTAGGAAAAGAAACAGTTACACTGTGAGTTATTATCTCTAGAGATGGCACATTGTCTGTTGGCTGTATTGTCAATTTTGTAAACGTTGTGCTTGCAAATAATGACAATCCATATTGGATGGTAGCTGTACAAGAACTGCAGGCCACTCCAAATCATGATCTCTTCACTGGAATTGATACAAC